CCGATCTATATATACACCTTGCTACGTGTACTGCGTTAGGCTAACCGAGACTTGTCATTTGCACTTACAGTATATATTGTTGCTCTTTTGTTAGTTTTGACTGCTCTTATTGTCCTCATTTGTAAGTCACTTTGGATAAATGACTAAATGTAAATGTAAATGTAAAATTCAGTTTGGCCACTGGAACAGCCTGCATAGTGAATCAATACCCACCGTATCTGTGTTTGATTAATCAGCCCGTTGACTGTATCCATAACGATTTATTCCTGTTTTATCTTTTTACATGCTTTCTTTGTTCCTCTGATTTGTTGGCGATAAACCCATCCAATCCAAAACAAAACAAAAATGCACTATGAAATTCTCATATCTATCATCTCATGTGTACCCGTCCAATCCCCTCACACACTCACTGTACACGTATGCCTCCATCTACTGCAACAACACATAGAATCCGGTTGGTTTGTAATTTTCTCTCGGCTTCTAATGCATCCATTACCCAAAGTGCTTCTCTCTTCCCTCCCCACTTTCCTCAAAGCATGCGCTTCCAGTATGATGACCCATTACCCCAAAGATGCTTGACAATTGGATATTTGTTAACATGTTAACATGGTAACATGGTAACAGCATGTTAACACTCATAATATTCTATTAGTAATTAAAAACACTAGGACTGGGTGGTATGATGGTTAAAAAAAGTGTCAGTTATACCATGGTAGTTTTATCCACACAGCTATCGTTTTGTGGGTCAAAATAAGGAAACGCTGTTGTGTGGATATGGTTTGGAGCTTAGAAATCCAGAATAAACATTACTACAGGATTATTTATTAACCATTTTTTCATCACATTTCCAGAAACACAACTGCATTGTCATGTAGACTTTTACAATGATCTAAAATTACTCATGTAAGCATTTGGTCATAACGTCCACCCTAATACAAACACACTTACATATAAGTACAAGAGCCAATATGTAGTAAATTAAAGTAACTTTAACCAAATTAACATAGAGGTTTACCTAAATGTATTCACAAGAGATTCAGACAAATTTCAATAGCTTACTCTTGCTCTTATTGACCTGTAGTTCTAATCTGCCTGGTTACCCACTGACCAATGAGAGTTTTAGTTTTGGCTTATAAAAATGCCTTTACACTTACACAGGTAGTCACAGACATCACTGAATGCCATGCACTTTAGCAAAAGCTGCATGATGACTCTTATTCTTTCATTACCTTATCTTTTCTCATCTCATCTGACTGTTTTGCACTACTGTAGTTCCTCCTCTGTATGGAAGAGGGTGCTGCATCTCACTCAGAAATTTGTGTATGCTGGAATGGGGGAGTGATCCTCAATAACCTGTCCACACAGTTGAGACGATTTATTATTTATTGTACCATGCCTGAACTCAATATTTCGAGCGATTGTGTCAGTTGCGTTTAAAATGCAACACTGAAATATTGAGGAAAAAAAAGACTGTTGGCTTGAACATTGTGTGGACTGGACCATTGAGAATTACATGACCAACACAGCCAATCCCCATTGGCTAATGTTGTCGGTATTCTACTCCGTATGCCTGTATTTGCTAAAATATTATAGTGCATCAGGCTGCTTTCATACTGTGCCTTGCCTGTCTCAGCAGATCAGTGCATTTGATTAAAAAAAGTTTATGCTTTAATATATGATTGGATGATGACTGTTACAATTTATTGATTGTTTTTCTTAAGCCCCTCCTGAATTAATTTGGTCCTTTTTTTAAGATTTTATATTTCATTTTTAGTGTCAATTCCATTTTAAGCTTATTTTGTACATTGTGTATTTATATACATTTAGAAAGAAAATATTTTTATACTTTTATGTATTACTTTAACCCACTTTCTCTCTAAATTATTATTTCATTTTTTATTTGAAAAAAAGAAAATTAGATTCATCATCATTAAGTAAACTGATTGTGATTTATTTTCTCTCTTTCACATGCTGTCTCTTGCATTCTTTTCTCCCTTTTCTTCTGGAACATTCTCCTCTGTCTCTGTTTCTACATATGTCTCAATCTAATCTCCCCAGGATAACTTCATAAACCTGAGTTTTCTGAGACTCTTCCGAGCAGCACGTCTCATTAAACTCTTGAGGCAGGGCGAGACCATTCGCATTCTGCTTTGGACCTTCGTTCAATCATTTAAGGTACAAAAAGTCATACTTTAATGCCTACAGTCACACATCCACACCAATTCACATGCGGGACAAAAGTTAAGATAAATGCAAGACATTTTTACACCAAAATCTTCACATCAAAATGTCAGGCACTCTAAAGTCCCACCTTAGAGTTAAAAAGAAGCAATTTTTCTCCTTGAGAAATATTTCTTTGCATATTTTCTACATGTAATGAAAGTGTATAGCCAACTGTGCTGCCTAAAAAAGTTAGAGTAAATGTCCATGATTCATTGAAAACAGTTTGGAGACTGGAATTAGTTATTAGGCATCTGAGCATTCTGTAAATTGAGCTTATTTGAACATTTAAAAAAAATACATTGTCCAAAAATAATCATTGCAGTGCATCATTTCATGCAATATTGCAATACCTGTAGATGTAGAAATGTGTTTTTTAATTCGACGGTAACTTTGATACAAGCAAAGTGACAATGCACTCAACCTATTTTACAGTGTGCACATCTGTAAAAACACATACACAGACTTTCAGACCAAACTTCAAAATTCTGTCCAATTTCTTTCTCCTTTCATGGTCTTTCTATCTACCATTTACAGGCTCTGCCGTATGTGTGCCTGCTCATTGCAATTCTGTTCTTCATCTATGCCATCATTGGCATGCAGGTAACAGCTGTTCTGTTTGAAATGAGTTTTAACATCACTGTGGGTTTTTGAAAATCAAAATAAAGACAAAATTATCCTAATTAAGCATCTTTCAACAAGTTCAGAAGTGGCATAAGGTTGCTGAGAGATCTCATCTGAGATCAGTGATGTGTGCAGTAGTTTTATATTTTCTCTCTGATTCTGTAGTTGTTTGGGAACTTGCGGCTGGATGCAGAGGAAGGTAGTGCGATCAATGAACACAATAACTTCAGAACCTTCATCATGGCCCTGATGCTCCTCTTCAGGTCGGCCTTGTGTCTTTACCAGTGTTATTTTAGTATATAAAAACTATATATACTGTATATAGTTTTTTTCTACTTAGCTTTAATTAATTTTTCAGATTTGTTTTTTTAGATTTAAGTTTTAGTAATTTTGGTTTTAAATTAAAACTTTTTATTTTAAGGAACAATACTTTTTTTCACTCCAAAATATTCATAGCTTAATTTTTAGCTAAAGATTTAGTAATTTTGTTTTTTGCTTTTTTTAAAAAAAATCTATACATTTCTGTTTAGCATTTTTTTTTTTTTTTTTCAGTTTTAATTATTTTATTTTATTCTATTTTAGTTTTAATTTTATTTTATGCAAGTTACTTGCAAAAGCAGGTTTTAAATTAAAACTTTTTATTTTAAGGAACAATACTTTTTTTCACTCCAAAATATTCATAGCTTAATTTTTAGCTAAAGATTTAGTAATTTTGTTTTTTGCTTCTTTTTTTTTTAAATCTATATATTTCTGTTTAGCATTTTTTTTTTTTTTTTTCAGTTTTAATTATTTTATTTTATTCTATTTTAGTTTTAATTTTATTTTATGCAAGTTACTTGCAAAAGCATTATTTTCAAGTATTTCATGTGTTAAGTATTTCATCTAATATTTATGTTTTATTTCACCTTTAAATGTCATGTATTTGTATGTTTTGGTAACAGGAGTGCCACAGGCGAGGCATGGCATGAGATCATGCTGGCATGTCTCGGAGGAATGGACTGTGATGAAAACTCTGGGAACGAGGGGTCAGAGTGCGGCAGCAACTTTGCGTATGCCTACTTTGTCTCTTTCATCTTCCTCTGTTCTTTCCTGGTGAGAACAGCCTCCACCTGTTTCTTTTCGCCATCCTTTACCTTAATCCCACTTTTTTTACACTTACCTTTTTCTCTCGGAGATGCATCTATTCTTTATTTATTGCTTCAAACATTAAATAATTAATTCTGTATGTTTTGGTGCTTGCATTGTGGGGGTTGTATTTGTGTTTAGATGCTGAATCTCTTTGTCGCTGTCATCATGGATAACTTTGAGTACCTGACCAGGGACTCCTCCATTCTGGGTCCACATCATTTGGATGAGTATGTCAGGATTTGGGCAGAGTATGACCCAGCAGCCTGGTGAGTTAAACGTACACATCTTTTACACTTTTTCTCCCACTCAAACACACAAAACCACACATTTTATTCTTTTAGGCACACATGCAACCATTGATTTTTACCTTTAAATTGTAGAATGGAAAACCTAAATCACCTAATACTAACAGTTTTTAAAAAGGAAACATGTTCACTGCAAGCTAACAAACACTGTAACATTCTAAAGATTCTTTATTTTGTCACAGATATATATGTGCGCACAAACTAACTCAAAAACCAATCATTCTTCTCCATAGCTGCTGGCCCAGAGCCTCTTACATCTTTTGTTACTGAAAACATCCCCAGAATGTCCCATAGTACTGTCCACAGTCACTCAAGACAAGGCCCTGACAAAATCTCAAAATACCTAGTGTTTGTCTTTATATCCCTCCTACTTCCCCCCCCGTCCCAGTGCTTGCCTCATCCTCGAGTGCTGTTCTGTAGGAGCCCATGGAGTTGGTCTGAAGGAAAGGATTCCTTTCCCCAGCCCTGAGAAACCCTGTTTACCCTGTTGACAGTGCACATCCGTTGATGATGATTGAGCAAAAGAAGGTTTAACGATTGAACCAGGATTGTGCGCCATTCAGAATATAATTAAAACCTTTTTTTTTATTATTATTATTCCAGATCAGTTCTTGAATTTGAATTGAATTTGAGTTACGGTACCAAACAAGATGTAGAATTGCAATTTGAATTTGGATGTTTATAAATAGCACTGAAATTAATCAAAATTCATATAACTAAAAGCAAAGCTAAGGTTTATAGGCCTGATGGATGGATGGCTGTCTATAGACATTTGATTTTACTAATAGTGTATATTTCATCATATTAAAGAAATTAACTCCAACCAGGTTGGAAAGGCATTTAATTTCCCACAATGCATTACTTATGTTGAATTTCTTTGAATTACAGTTCAGTACATATCTCTTCCTGTCATTCCAATTTAAATTCCTATTCATCTTTCTGTGGAATGTGGCTAATTCAATTCAAACTCATGAAATGCAAGGGAACCAATTTTTTAATTCTGAATTTTGCATAATCCTGATTTGAACAAATGCTTTCATTCAAAGAGTCAGAAAGAAGGATAGAAATTGCATTTTTACTACAGTATACGTGATTTTCAACATAAAAATCAAATATATTATACGAAAAACATCTTTAATGTGAAAAAGAATAATGGAAAAACTGAGTGCAACAAAGGGTAGAAAAATGTTTTTTTTTTTAAATCTGCTAAAAAAAAATTTTTTTTAAATCCCCCCCCAAAAGAGAAAAAAATATATATATGTGTGTGTATAAAAACTGCAGCAAGAAACCGAGGAAGTGATTTAAAAGAACATAAGCAAGAGAGAGCTGAACATGAGACCCTGTGCATGGCAGATTCTGACTTCACAATGACTTAATTCTCCCATCTTTATGGCTCAGGTGTGCATGGCAAACATCTTCACAGACAAGCTGTCGCAGCTTATTTCTGTACTTGCCACTGCATACAAACGTTAACAAAATACACCTCATGTATTTTGACTGGTAAAGCCCACATAGCTGTCGCTGTATGCAGTTCAATTAAGTCATTGGACTTGCCAAGATGAGAGAGCCTCTCATGTGCACGGTCATATCGGTGGATTCGTTTACTCCGCACCGCGATGGGGGGAGGATTCAGAACAGCACTAAAGATCATTCAGGGACAGCTTCACCATTTTTTTTTACTCAAAATTTGATCTGGTTATTTCATTCACATGCATAGGTTGGGTTTATTGACTGGATTTTGACATGCATTGAAATCTCGGATACAGTAACCCTCACATGCATGTTTAAATGTATCCAAGGCAATGGTCCAAGTCTGGATTGTGGAAGTGAAATATAGCCGGTAAAATTCCTTTAGAAGTACATGAGCATTAATTTCAAATGTCCATAGCATGCATGTATGAATTTATTTATGTATTTATTTTTTTGTAATTTTAATTTAAATTAAATGTCAAAAAAAATTGTTTTAAAAAAAGACTCTTGCGTCTTAAGGTCATTGCACAATGAGTCCGAAATTATCGTCTGAAATTTTCGCACGTTAAAAAATAAATACGACTGCACGTTGTGTCCATCATCTTTACACACTGCCTCTGAAACTTTCGTCCGTCATAAAAAATTAATCAGGTCAGGTTTGGATCAGGTTCGATTTTCTGCATTTTCGCATGCATAGCAAGCATTTTGATAGGAAAGGATGACGAATGAGAGGGGGAAAAGAGAGTCAAAAGAATGAGAGTCAGTGTGCAAGGACCTTTAGTGTTTACTCATTTTTATGTCAAAATTGCTGGGTTTTTAATTACTCCTCATCTCAGTCTTATGAAAAGGGTCCATTGCAGGAAGATTCTAGTCTTTCGTATGACCTAAACATGTCTGTTAGCCTAAAATCGGTTGGGCTGTCCTTTGAATGATCTGGTTTTCTATCGGTTTGAGGCAATGGAACAGCCTCACTGGGTTTGGTCTGTGATTTGTCAATGGATATGTGTGCTTTTATTCTCTTGTTCTTTGTGCTCCTCTTCTTGTTTCTCTTTTATTCCCTCTTCCTCTCCACCTCCTCTTTGGCTCTCTGGCTCTGTTTCTTCTCTCTTTTCCTGTGTGTGACCCCTCTCTAACCTCCCTGTATTCTTCTTGCAGCGGGCGCATTCATTATAAGGATATGTACAGTTTATTGCGGGTTATCGACCCCCCGCTGGGCTTAGGCAAGAAATGTCCTCATAGGGTGGCCTGCAAGGTTTGGATCCTACTAAACAAAAAACTTAAGCACCTGCTCGCATTGAAGACTGGAATGAATGTTGCTTTTCTTTTTTTATGTTTTCTTTTTCAGTTTATTTTTTACTCTTCTCCACAGTTTTTCTTCTTTGACTTGAAATTCATTTTTGTTATTTTATTTGCCATCTCTATATGCATTCTGATATGACAAATGAGAATGTGCGGGACAATGCAGACACCTTTTTAGAAGCATGACGTGCACTGCCATCGACAGCCAAGTCTGTATGAATCTCTCTGTGGAATGAATCACTCTAAACAGCCAATCAAAACAAAACAAAAAAAAAGAAAAAATTAATCAGTTATTTTGTTTGTTTTTTTCTTTCTGCTTGCTGTTGAACCATGCCTTGGCAAACTGGGTGTAACAGTGTGCATTGTTCTTGTTTGGGGACGAAGTGAGGGTTGGGGATCAGAGGACTGCATTGACGTGACTACCATAGTTCACCACCAAGCAGCGGAGCTTTTCTTTGCCTGTTTGAAGCCCCACTGCAGTTCTATGGGACCGTCCCACGATCGCATAGAACAGTGTTTTTACTAGGACTAAAAACCAGCGTCCCCTCCTCCTGTTTAACCTCCAGCCAACCAAGAGCTCTCACGCTCTCAAAACCCCGCCCCTCGCCCAGACCAAAACAATAACCTATGTGATTGTAAGGATCTGAGTGCATCTTTGTGTGACAGTTACATATAGCCATTTTACATGTCACGTTCATCATATTAAGGCTATGAACCTTAGTCAGGGTAGAAGGCATGTTTAGTTTGAGGTGAATGATTACAAAGCCATTTATTGTCTGTTTTTTTTTCATACGAAATATCATGTGTCATCAAGAACAGCATGCATTTGAAATAGAATATCATTAATTATACGTGTGTAATTTATTTATTAAAATAGACATCAGTCTTTACTGTCTCTTTTGCATCTTTATTATATAAAATAACTAGTGCTGTCAAACGATTAATCACGACTAATCACATACAAAATAAAAAATTTTGTTTGCATAATATATGTTTGTGTTCTGTGTATATTTATTATGTATATATAAATACACACACATACAGAATATATTTTGAAAATATTTACATGTCTATATTTATATTCATTTAATTTATAAATATATTTAATATATAAACATAACATTTTTCTGAAATATATACATGCACATGTGTGTATTTATATATACATAATAATAAATATACATATATTATGTAAACAAAAACTTTTATTTTAGATGCGATTAATAATTTGACAGTACTGAAAATAACAATTATATATAATTTTTGTATCTTTTGAGCAGTAGTGTATTTGAGGACGTGTGTACTTGAAAGTAATACAGACAATTTGCACGTTCCTGAGGAGCATGCTCCTTAATTATGCAAGTTGTAAGGATCTGAGTGCATTTTTGTGTGACAGTTACATATAGCCATTTTACATGTCACGTTCATCATATTAAGGCTATGAACCTTAGTCAGGGTAGAAGGCATGTTTAGTTTGAGGTGAATGATTACAAAGCCATTTATTGTCTGTTTTTTTTCATACGAAATATCATGTGTCATCAAGAACAGCATGCATTTGAAATAGAATATCATTAATTATACGTGTGTAATTTATTTATTAAAATAGACATCAGTCTTTACTGTCTCTTTTGCATCTTTATTATATAAAATAACTAGTGCTGTCAAACGATTAATCACGACTAATCACATACAAAATAAAAAATTTTGTTTGCATAATATATGTTTGTGTTCTGTGTATATTTATTATGTATATATAAATACACACACATACAGAATATATTTTGAAAATATTTACATGTCTATATTTATATTCATTTAATTTATAAATATATTTAATATATAAACATAACATTTTTCTGAAATATATACATGCACATGTGTGTATTTATATATACATAATAATAAATATACATATATTATGTAAACAAAAACTTTTATTTTAGATGCGATTAATAATTTGACAGTACTGAAAATAACAATTATATATAATTTTTGTATCTTTTGAGCAGTAGTGTATTTGAGGACGTGTGTACTTGAAAGTAATACAGACAATTTGCACGTTCCTGAGGAAAAAACGACTTGAAATCTCATCTGACCATTTAGACAGAGATTGAAAAACATCAGATTTCAAGTGTTTTTTATTTGTTTGGTTGTTTGTTTAATTGAAAATGGCATCTACGCTATGATCTAATGAACAGACTTCCTCTATGGTAGACATTTTGCGAAATGTAATTTAGTTATGACCTCACAAAGCTTTGCTGAGACTCCCTTGACTCCAGTCTCTTCCTTTCACTTTCCTCACTCTTATTGTTTCCCCTCATCTCAAACAAACAGCATTCTTATTGTTCTCTCTTTCTCCTCTCAGACTTTCTCTCTATCCATTGCCAAGCACACCACTCCCCCCTTTCTCATTATTTTTATATGTGGTACACATCTCATGGCTTTCCAGTCTGAAGTGAACTAACTTCTATACCTGTTGCCCCCTAATCCAGTCCTACACCTCTCGGTGTACAACACAGCCATTTTTTCCTCTTTAACTCCGTAGGGAATGCCACCCCTTATCTGACCTTCAAAAAAAACTGCACCCGTTTTGCATCGAGAGATCAGAAAAAAGCACCAAAAAAAGCTATGCAATTAACCCTATGAGATATCACCCAAAGAAAAATAAAGATGCTAAACAAACCCAAAAATTCATGTGGTCAATGAAAGATCAAATGATACTCTCTGTGCGCGGCTGCACTGCTCTTGTTCTGTGAGGGGTGGGGAGGGAGGAGGGGGGGCATGCAAATGCATGCTGCAT